TGGTGGAAAGCATGAGGCAGTGCCTTGATTAACCAACAGGATTTGTTATACACCATTTGTTGTATACCATTCATGGCTTTCATTTTTTTCTTTTTCTTTTTTGTTTTGTTAGTATTGCTGTTCTTGCATACCAACCCACTGGCACTGACTTTCAGTTATGCTAACATTGTTACTCTGGAAATTAACAATATTTGTATAATACTTTTGACACTAACTCAAACCCCTGTTCTTTTGTTACAGTGGAATTATGTTATTAGACTACATTGTTAGGTTTAACCACTTTGTAATGTAATGGTTATAAGCAAAAATAAGTGCTATGAAACTCATTGGGAACTAAGTAAAGTGAAAGGTGTTGTTCATATACTTTTACCTTCTTAGCTTTTCTCTAATACATTTATTTTTTCCCCTTCAGAAATTAACATAAATACAGGAAAGTAAAGAGAACAACTTGAAACTACTTTGATAGACTTAATCCGTATTTTTTTCCTGCAAGTACATAGATCCTACTAGCATCTTTTATTCACAGTATGTTAATGTGCTGCTCTTCATTGGGTATAAGAAGTTAACATACTAAAGCATGTGCTGGCACACATACCAAGAAAAGGGAAGTGTTTCATCTGCTTTCATGTTAATAATTTCAGAAAGCACTAAAATGTCCTCTTTTCGTTGACAATAAAATGTGACCTCACCTGGCTTTTGGTATAACATTAAACTGGTGATAGAAACCAAGAAATTGAAATGCACAGTTTATGATTAACCAAGTTGATACCTCATTTTTAAAACACAGAAGTACTCATTTCAGTGGATTTTACAGGAGTAATTTTTTTTGTTTTGTTTTGTTTTGGAGATTGGTGAATGTTGGGTTTGAGGCTTTGGAGCCAAATGATACAATTGTGAGATACTCTTCCCTTCCCCATATAGCATGCCACCAAACCTGATTGCGCTAGTGAATTCTAGGCGTTTACAGTTCTTTATAGAATGCCTGCCAAGCTATTACCTTTATAAAACTATTCATTGTAGAAAACATATTTGAACCAGATTGACATAGCCCTCTTGCTGCAGCCCACCTACCAGATTGTACACATAATACACAATACTTTATTGTCATCACGTTCAGTATAAAAAGAAAAAGATTGTACATTTGATGGTTTTAAAATTTTCATTAAAAATCCATCTGGGTGAGCAAAATCATACAGACAACAGGGTCTCAATACATGTTTACACTAACAATGTTGAGAGTGTATCTTCCACTCTATTCTTTGATAAGTTTATATGTTTAAGATGGAATCTTTGTTTTAATTTGCATATTCTGGAATACTAATGAGGTTGAACATTTTTCTGTTAACCATTTGTACTTTTTGTATTTTTATCTTTATAAATTGTCTGCTCATATCATCTTGGGGGTAATTTTTAATATATGGGAGTTTTTGAGGTAAGATTACAATGCTAGCATCACCCTGTTAACATATGTCAATTGCTTAGACTTTCTATTTCTTTTGTCTTCAAATAATAGCACAAAGAAATGCCATAGTGTGTGTATGTTCAGTTTGACCACCTTTATAATGCTTTCAGTAAAAGGATCAGACAGTGTTCTTCAAAAAAGTAATTGTTCTCTTTGAGCAGGCACAGTTGACTGATTCATGTATACTGTTCAAAAGATTGCTTTTGTGCTCTGCGGTTGGTCATTGTTTAGAAAATAAGATGTGTTCAGTCTTGGTGGGAAGGATGAGTGTGGCCTGGTAGCAATATACAGATGTAGGAAAAAGATTTGGTTTTTAGAAAGAAAATTGATGAACACAATCTCTCCTGTGTCTAATTTTATAGTGTTGATGAAATGGAACTATTGGGGCAAGATTTGCTTGATTCTAAGTTAGCATGTAAAAGTGAATCCAAAATAACAGTTGTTTTAAGCAGAATTAAATGATTATTCTTACATGAGTTTATACAGAACAAAGGCTTTCCTGAATAATTGTCTTGTAAACTTCAAAGCCATTATCTACTTATCTACTGTAAACACTTGACTTTTCAAATTGATGGGCCATTAATTAATAATATGAAAACCAGCTATATTATCTTGCCAAGAAAGAACAGAGGTATTTTATTGTTAGGTAGTCTTGGAAGAGCTGTAATTAATAATCCTACTGTGTTTCTTATTGCCAGCATTACCTCATGGATTCAGCTCTCGACTGGGAAGTTATTTAGAACATGAAATTGCTTTAGAAAAATTTTTCTGAAGAGGTTAATCCCTCTGTATCAGGGTTTCTCAACCTTGGCACTCTTGACATTTTTGCCAGAGTACATTTTGATGTGGAGGTGTTTAACAGCATCCCATTAGACACTAGCACACAACTCCTCCTCCTTGCACCAATGAAAAATGTCTCTAGACATTGCCAAACATTGGAGAGGGGAGGCAGACATCCCATTTGGTCCCCTTTCCCCTACTGAGAACCACTGGTCTTTATATTACTTTTAACTATATGACTTGAAAAAAAAGATTAAAAATGTTATTTGTTTTTGGAATTATTCAGGTAATTTTTTAAAGAGTAGTTTGATAGAATTGTGACCTGGGGGTTGCAGAGAGATTTCACATCCTTGCAGTGTTGAAGACCAATGCTCTTCACATCCAGTCAGTAAACTTAATGAAAAAGAGATAGAAGAGAATATTGAATCTGCTGAGAAGGTTGACATGGTATGTACTGTTACTGATGCAGAAATAATAGGGAGTGTTCTGAATGTTAAAAAGTCAAAAGATGTTGATAAAAGGCCATGAAGAAGATGATTTTAATGAAGGCTTTTCAGCTTTTGAAGTAATTAATTAGAAAGCTAGCTGTATTATCATGCCAATAAAGGGCTGCCTCTTCATCTTCTGCTTTTCAATTTTAAGAGCAAGAAACAAATGGCAAACAGTTGTTATCTGTAGTTTACTTTTTTTTAAAGCAATTTCCAGAATATGTTATAGGGGCAATGTGGTTTTAGCTTTACTCCTGTCCCAGGTACATCTGTGGTTCTATAAAATGCCAATTGATGGTCATTGAAAGCACTATGAGATAAAGAGATGTCTTTGGAATGATCTACAGAAACGAGACTCTGCATTCATTCACCTGGCATATATTAAACCTCTCACATACCAGGTTCTGTGCAGAAAATACAGAAAATAATAAAACATTCTGCTTGAATATCCCATTAAAATAATTCTGGATGAATGGAAATTTTCTGGTTAGGGATACCAATCACCATCAGTCTTTTACCCACTTTTCCAGCTGATTCTGTAATGTTAAATGTCTGTCTGCAAAAGCTGTTTGAAAGTGTGTGTGAGTGTGTGTATGGTATATATTATGCATATAAGTTAATTCTTTTAAAGCCGTTTCTGAAACTAGTGGAAAGCTATATTCATTTTCTTTTATGCTTGTTAAAATCTTATTTAAATTATTCTCTTTATTAAATATCCATGAGAGTTGAATAAAACATGGTCCTATACTATTAATTTATTTTTAATTATACTGTGGCTGTAATATCATTAAGAAAAATTGATGTCACCCTTAAGGCCAGAATTTTTGCTAATTATTGCCAGTTGGTGTCAGAATTTGAAAAGCAGGATCTTTGTTAAAAGTCTGGTATAGTCTTAAAATTTTTTGTTAAAACTGATCAGCTTAGATTATAGGTGTGATAGGGGAAAAGTGAAATCTTTATGATATTGAATAGACTGGAGTTGGAAAAACAAATAATTCAACATTTAGGCAGTTACAGATAAGTAGGAAAAAATACAGAGTTCTAGCACTTAACAATCCATTCTTCCTCCTTATTTTCTAATGTCAGTTTTAGCAGTCTAAGTCATGAATGCACAGACCCATTCAGAGCCATGAGCTCCCTGCTCTTAGGCAGGTGATTCAGAGACAGTTTTAGCAATGTATACCTAAGGAAATACAAGCCAGCCTGATCTAAGGAATAATGAAAGGTTGTACCATGATGATCATTTTTAGTATAACCTAACTGAGGTTAACTATTAAGTATTTTGGTATTTTCTCTGTGGAACTAACTGATCTGTTGACTACTGTTCTCCAGTCTTTTTTTTTTAATCTTCTTTTATGGCTCCTAAAATTTACTGATATAATATACATGGGTATAACTTGTATTTATTATTTTTATTATTTCTCTTTGAAAACAGAACTGCAACTAGACTGTAGCTATCTATCTAAATAATCCCAAACTGATAAGTTAGAGATATTGCTAGAAAACAACGTTTTTTGATGTGCAAAAATTTTTATTCACTTTGGGTTGATTAGGACTATAACTAACAACACAGGAGGAAATAATGTTGTAATATATCACAGTTAATCTTTGAACTTTTATTAATGGGGCTTTCAGAGTTTGGAATTAGACTAGACTTAGGTTCAAATCCTGGCCCAACCACTTACAAATTTTTGTGACCGTAGGTCAGGTATTTTTAACCCTTCTGTAGGTAATTTTTCCTATCCTTAATAAAAAGGACATAATCAGAATACCTATTGCAATGGATATTTTTAAGGATTATATGAGATGAGCTATGTAAACTTCTTGGCAAGTACCTGATGCATAGTGACTATTCAGTAAATGATAGATATTATTTTGTCTTTCTAAAAGTAGGTATTCCACTTTAATTTTAACTGTGAATAACACAATTTGATTGTATTGTTACCTGCACAGTGAAATAAATGCCAAAAGCAATTTCTTTGGCACTAAAAAAATGAAACCTTCTGTGATTATGATTTTGAACCAGCTTTTAGGTTCATTTCTCAGGTCTCATTTATCTTTACTGATCTTGAGAAGCTTTTTGCAAATATATATATTTCTTCTATAATGTAGAATGGTATGAGTCTAAAATATAGTGAAACAAAATTCAGTATATTCCACAGTCAGATGATTGGTACTAGTGACTGATTATTTCTTGAAATAATCTCATTACTGTGAATTATGTGACAACTTTTAATTTACCTCGCTTTCTGACTTAAACAAATTTTCAGATCTCTTGTGGAGGAGGAAGACCAACACATGAAATTGTCCCTTGGAACCAGCGAAATGGGCCTCTCATCCCATTTGCAGTCTTCCAAGGCAGGAGCCACACGCATCTTTACCAGCAATACCCACAGCTCTGTGGTGTTACAGGTAATCTAACTGTCCTTTGTGTAGTATTTACATGGCTTTAGAAAGTACCCAGGGTCTTTATGGTGTGGGATGTTGATAGTGGGGGAGGTTGTACACGTTTGGGGATGGGGTTATAGGGAAACTCTCTGTACTTACTGCTCAAGTTTGTTGTGAACCAAAAACTTCTCTAAAAAAATTAAATTCATTAATTTAAAAAAAAGCAAACAAGCAACAGAGGAGAAACCTTGAGGGGAAAACTGCATACCTTCCTGGTGTTAAAAAAAAAAAAAAAATCCCCAGAGTTCATTCTTTGCTTTGTTTGTGTAAAGGAGGTCTTGCTATCATGCCACTTTCTTAGAGAATGTTGTATCTGGCAACATTAACTTTCCATTATGTCTCAGCCAACATAAATATCACAAAGTCCCTACTTTAAATGTCCTAGTTCCTCACTCACAACTTTTTTTACTGTCACCTTTATCATAGTTCTAAAGGTTGTATTTATTTGGTGTCTCAACTCACATTGGCAATGTGAGGACTGCTAGATGCAAATACACTGATAGATGTAAGAAGTAATAACTCACATCAAAGGAGCGGACAGAAAAACAATAGAAAGAGAAAAGAACACACAGACCTGAAATGTGGAGGTATTTAGTGTAAGGATAAGGAGTCCAAGTATTTCTGACCCTTGTGGACATTGCCTGACCTCTGTGGGCATTGCTGAGTTAGAGAATCGTATGAAAATGGATGTCCATTAATGTCTTCTAGATGTAGTTAAATTGTATCAGTGTTCTCTGCTTAGTGAGATAAGGAAAATAAATCTTTCTAAATGTATTTTAAAAGAAATCTCCCCAGGTGAATTTCATGTATATATCTGGTCAAGAACCATTAAAATAAATCAGTATATAGTATAAAATATATTATTAGTATAATATATAGATAACATAGGGAAGAGGCTTATGCTTGCTGTGTGGCCTTGCTGTGTTATATAATTTCTCTGGGCTTCATTTTTCTTATCTCCAAAATACGACTCTTGATTAAGAGATCTCTAAATTCCCTTGTAGTTCCCATCTGTGTGATTCAGTGAAATCACATTTTTTCCAGTGTTTCAGTTTCTAAATGGGAACTGAGGTTTACGGTTCATTGTTCTGTGGGTATCATCAATAGAACAGAGGGTCAGGAAGGAAACAATTTCTATCTCCTGGCATCTTAATTCTATGTAAATGGTTTAATTGTTGGTTTTGGAAGGCTATGGGAGGAGAGAATAATGGTTCAAGCTGATAGGAGAAGCATGAGAGGAAGGTTTTTTGTTGTTGTTGTTATATTAAAGTACTCTCTCCAAAGAAAATACAAAGAGACCCATGTACCCCTGCACTATAATTCTGCCCTAGCCATGACCATAGTCATGTGTAATGCCAACTTTTGTGGTTCTGCTAATTTTTAAAATGTACTTTAAAACAAATAATGCAAACCAGTACTGTGTAGTGAAACAGATTTAGAGCAGTGGTTCTCAAATTTTAGTGCATATCAGAATCACAAGGAGGAGGGTTGTTAAAACAGTGTGAACCAGTCCCCACCCCCAGTTTTCTGAATCAAAAACTGGGGATGGGGCCCAGAAATGTGCATTTCAAGTAAGTTCCCAGGTGATATAATACTTCTGAGGAACATAACTTTTTTTTTTTTTTTTTTAATTTATCTTTTTTGATTTCAGAGAGAGGAAAGGAGAGGGAGAGAGAGATAGAAACATCAATGATGAGAGAGTCATTGATTGGCTGCCTAGCCCACAACTCGGGCATGTGCCCTGACCAGGAATCGAACCCCGATCACCTGGATCTTAGGTCGATGCTAAACCGCTGAGCCACGCCCTGCTGGGCTGAGGAACATACTTTTAGAATCACTGTTCTAGAGGTGAAGTCTGTCTTCCACCAAGAGAGATGACTTCTTCCTTTCCTCCTTATATCATATGGAGATAAGTTAATGTTATAATGGGGAAACAATGGAAATACCTTAAATATCCATCCATAGGAAATTGGCTGCCTAAATTACATTGCATCACCTATGTAATAATGTGCAGTTACTAAAAAGAGCAAGATAGATCTGTATGTATTGAATGGATAGACTATATCAAATGAAAAATGTAAGAGGACAAATGTGCTATATCCATACAATAGAAAATTATTCAGCTATATAAAGGAATGAAATACTGACACATGCTACACATGGATGAACCTTGAAAACATTATGCTACTTGAAAGAAGTTAGTCACAAAATACCACATATTATATGATTCCATTTATATGAAATGTCCAGAATAGGGAGACCAATAGAGGCAGAAAGTGGAGTAATAGTTGCTTAGGGTTGGAAAAAATGCGAGGGTACAAGGGTGATATCTAAAGCATACAGGGTTTCCTTTTGAGGTGATGAAAATATCCTCAAATTGATTGTGGAGATGGTTTATATACTATCTGTGAGTGTACTAAAAACCACTGAACTGTACACTTTCAGTAAGTGAATTGTATGGTATGTTAGTTACATCTCAATAAAGCTGTTAAAATAGTAACAGGTCAATATATGTTGTTTAATCCTATCTATTTGTAGAAAAATATACAATATGCATACATATACATGAATGTAAATGCATAACAAAAGGTTTGGAAACATTAGGGAGGTTGGTGATGATGTTTTACACTTTGTGCTCTGTATGATCCTGCACTGTTTACTTTGTTTTACAATGGAAATACATTTGCATATTACCTTTGTAATTTAAAAAATATATTATGGTTGACAAAACAAGTGTAGCTAGGTCTTAGAATCCTTAGCTTTGTCATGTTTTAGCTCAGCCTTTGTTTGTCCAGGCTGATGGTAGGCACACTGATGTGAAACTAACCTGAGAGTTTGTATTAAGTGAAGACAATCTTTCCTAAACTGATTTTTTTATGTTCTAATATTTTTTGTGGTGGCATAGAGCTACCAATTTATATTGCTCTTGAGAAACTTTGTATACTCTTCAAAAGACTATTAAAAATTATGTTCTCACAAACCAAGATAATTAAGTACAAGCACTAACAGGGACTTTTTTTCTGTATCTAATCTTAGGTATGTGGTTGTCAAGTGAACAAGCTAGAGAAGTGTTTAATGTGTAAATGCTATCATTGTTTTAAAATTGGCAATCACATAAACTCCAGCTTCAAAAGGCATTGCAAGTAGCTGTCAGGGGAACGGATCCATGGGGAGAGGATGTTTTAAGAAGTCTCACTCTGAAGGATTACCCACTGCATAACTGTAGTGGAAAGGGCATGCATTTAGGCCATAACTGGAATCTTAGTTTTACCACTTAACAGCTAGCTTTGTGACTTTGGGAAGGTCATTTATCCTCCTTAGACCAGCTTCCTTATCTGTAATATGGGTAAGAGATATGAGGATTAAATGTGACAATTTATGGGAAAATAAAGTGCATAATTTATTTTCCTTCCATTTGAGCCAAACAGGGAAGGTGTCAGAGAAAATGTAGCTGATCAGAAGTGATGGATTTGCCAAATACAGTGTCCTTCTGGTGGGCTTGATTTGCTCTAACAGATTAGTTGTCTCCATTAAATAGGCTTTAGAAAACTAGGCAGTCAAAGCAAGTGCCTGGAAAGTATTTTGATACCTGATAGGCTCCGATTCCTAGAATCTTGAACAAATCTCAGGAGATTCCATGATGGAATTTGAAGTGCAAAAGTAAGAAAACTTCCATCCTTTGACTTCATTCTGTTACCTACGTTGTCAACATCCTTCTTTTACTACCCCATCCTATGGCAATTCGTTGAATCAAACTCTTCCTAGCACCTTCATTGCTTAAAAATAACAGCTTTATGGAGATACAATTTATATACCATGTATTCACCCATTTAAAGTGTACAATTCAATGGTTTTAAAAATATTCAGAGTTTTGCAGATATCACCACAATCCACATAGAACATCATCATCCCCTCAAAAAGAAACCTTGTACCCATTAACAATCTCTCCCCACTTACTCCCAACCCCTTCCCCAACCCTAGACAACCATTAATCTACTCGCTATCTCTAGAGACTTGCTTATTCTGAGCATTTCATATAAATGGAGTTGTACAATATGTGGTCTTTTATGACTGGTTTCTTTTACTTAGCATAATGCTTTCAATGTTCATCCACATTGTAGCATGCATCAGTACTTGTGTCCTTTTTATCACTGAATAATATTCCATTGTATGGATATGCCAGTTTTAAAAATCCATTCATCCATTGATGGACATTTGAGATATTTCAACTTTTTGGCTATTATTAACAGTGCTACTGTGAACATTCATGTACAAGTGTCTGTGTGGACATGTTTTCATTGATCTTTCATGTATACCTAGGAGTGGAATTGGTGGGTCATATAGTAATTCTGTGTCTAATTTTTTTAAAAAATATATCTTTATTGATTTCAGAGAGGGGAAGGGAGAGGGAGAGAGAGACATAGAAACATCAATGATGAGAGAGTCATTAATCGGCTGCAGCCTGCAATCCGGGCATGTGCCCTGACCGGGAACCAAACCCAAATCTCCTGGATCCTAGGTCGATGCTCAACTGCTGAGCCACGCCTGGCTGGGCTCTAATTTTTTTTAAAGAACTTCCAGACTGTCTTCCATAGTGGTTGTATCATTTCACATTCCCATGGGCAGTATATGAGGGTTCCAACTTTTCCATATTCTTGTTAATACTTATTATGTCTTTTTGATTATAGTCATACTAGTAGGTGTGAAGTGGTATCTTGTGATTTTGATTTGTATTTCCCTGGTTGCTAATGACGTCGCATATCTTTTCATTTGTGCTTCTGGCAATTTCTATATCATCTTTGAAGAACTGTCTATTCAGATCTTTTGCCCAGTTTTTAGTTTGTTTTTTTTGGTCTTTTTATTATTCAATTGGAAGAGTTCTTTATATATTCTAGGTACAAATTCCTTATCAGACACGATTTACAAAGTATTTTCTTTCAGCATCTTTGATTTTATAGTCCTTG